CGTTTCCTGCCGACATGCACGGAATATGCACCTTGATCTGTAGGAGATAAGTTGTTAAAAGCATTTATTCTGAATTCCTCAATACTAATAAGAAAAAATAGCTTACCGCACTGATTGCTAATCCAAAGGTTATTCCAAGAGATATATCAAACACTTTCCTCATGTAAGAGAGAACAATGGGACCACATGGCTAAAAAGAACAAACAGTTATCACTTTATATTAAACAAATGGATGGTTCTAAACATTTAGATTTGGTAATCTACTGTATACTGTATATAGATCTTAAATAATTTTAAAATTCTATAGACTTTAAGAAATGAAACCTACTGCAACTAGAGATTGCTCTTAAAACTAGGATTTACTTTTTTTTGTCTTTTTAATATTTTTTCTTTAAAAACTTGTTAAATTAAATACTGAATGAAAACGTGATCATTCATGATAATTTTCATGCCAATGAAAACATAACATTAGCATTTGTTTATAACCATCAATGTGTGTACTGAAGTTTAAGAACTGTTTTAAATTCACAGGTTAAAATCTTATTCCCTCCCCCCCATTTTGGTACTCCTCTTACCAAAAACAGTAATCAAAACCATCTTAGCAAGGATGTGAAATGAACAGCAAATTTTCCCCCAATTTCACGTTTGACTCAAGTTTCTATTCACTCAATCAAGCTTAACGTCAGGTATCGGAGCTCAATATTACATGATGAGCCTGCTATTTTGCAGACTGGAAAGACTTTTCTTAGATATGGAAGGAATCATAACAGGAATGTATCTTGTTCAATCAGTACTGTGACAGCAATGAGAGGAATAATTTTACCTGTTTATAAACCAGCACAGAAGACCCAGAAACATCAAGATACTTCATCATTCCCTGGAACACGTCAAACAAGTTTAAACATGTACTGTATTAGCTAAAACAGATTCAATTTAAATACAATCTTACAATAAATGGCATGACAAACATGAAGGCAGACAAAATGTATTCATTAATAAAACAACTGGATACACTGTGACTAATTTTATTGGATAAAAAGGAATATGTAACCAATTATTCCAAGAAAATATTAGGTCTCAGAAGACAACCCACATTTTATGTGCAATCAACAATAATATTTTATACTTAACCAACCTGGAATTAGCTGTGCTTTGCTTACCACATCAACTCCTATACCATATGAAGAGAATAAGGATGATAATACACATATCCCTACAACATGCTCACGTGTCAGACTCATTTAACTTTTGACACTCTGAAATCTCCACAATGCTGCGGGCCAGTACTATGGAAATTAGTAATGACAGAAAAGAGAGATGCTTCTCTCACCGATTTTACTGTTAGAATGCAAGTGCCCGGCAAGTCTCAGAAAGTCATGTGTACAGTACAGTATGTAGCAATCTCTGGTCAGCTCTACTCAGAAAGATACCAGCAGTGCTTAGCCATCTTTGTGCTCCCTTAAGAGCTATTCAGGCTCTTGTACAGTTTTCACATTTTGGTGCTTTAAAGCACTTTTAAAGTCTGGGCACATTAAAGTAGCAATTTCTACCTACTCAACACATTCAAGCAAAAACCAAAAAGGAAATTAATCTGAAGGAAAAATGGAAAAATCACAATTATAAACTGAAAAATGAAAACAATTATCTCTGAGGTTCCTTGGTCAAGTAGTGAATTTAAAGCAAAATGAACCATGAAGACTAAGGAGCTTTTGAAGCATCTCAAATAAACTCCTAAGCGATACTGATTGAGTCCACTGATCAAATCCTATTGATTCTACCAAGTCAAAATACTCATAGTTCAGTTAAGTGAGTCAATTAGGTTAGATTCAGACTTATTTGTTGCCTTATTATGCCTCTACGCATACCTGCTTGTGTTGTTCATATGATGTTTACAACACTCACTTTTGAAACATTGAATTTTAAAATGCTAGCAAAAATATATTTTTTCATTCCACATTTTATTGAAGTCTTTCAGTGGGACATTTGAATGGAACCTGTACAATATTTAAGAGGATGATGGCGGAGACGCATTTGCCAGAAGGCCCTGGAGAATGATCTGCCATCCTTGGTCACCTTACTAATTGCTGGAAAACAACTGGTCAAGCAGCCGTTAAAAATCAAGAAGTGGAGTCTTCCAGAAGAAAAGCTCTCTTAGATAGCAGATTTTCTGTTATGTGCTGCACCAGGAAGAGTGGAAGCAAAGAAGACACCGACCATTGAGACTATGGACATGAGCATAAATGATTTTAGAGAAAGAGGTTTAGTGACGGCAAGATAAGGGTATCCCTTAGTTGGGCTACTGATAGACATGAGAAGTAGTTAGAGCTTAGTTTGGTTTTGTTTGATTTACAGTATCTGTCATGGAGTATTAATGCACTGTTTAATAAAATAACATTTTTTTTTAGCTTATCACAGTGTACATTGTACATTGTTGGTTTCCTGAAATCTATTAGCAGTACAATGATTTCTGCTAAGACAACGCAGTTTATGAAACTCTAGCAAACCCCATTAATCATTCCAGGTGCTAACTGGGAAAAAAAGAAATATGACTCTATAACTGGCACGTTCTATATCAGTATATCAGTACATACCCATTTATTCTTTGGTGAAACTGGAACGCTCACACAGTCCTTGTACTGGTAGAATGGAGGGCAGCGACAGGAATCTGGGACTTTCTGCCCCCAGTCTTGGTAACCATTCAACATTCCACAACAGTGAACCTGCAGAAACAGTTTGGTTCTTAGAAAAGTGAATCATACAGAGCAGGACTAGAGAATAGACTGTATGGGTCAGCTTACGCTTGGCTTTAAAAGCACTATAGCAGTTTCCGTGAATTCCTGTGAATTCTCTGGTGAATGCTCTAGAGAAGAAATCCTGCTTATTTCAGGCCCCAGACTATCAATGAACTCTGTTTTATTTACATTTAAGTACCTTTAAAAAAACAGTT